TTTTCATTCGCACATTTTTTTTTAAATCTTTTTTTTTTAGTAAAAGTGTGAAATAGTTACAACAAAGCTAATTTCTTTTTTTTTTAAGTTCGACTCTAGCCTTTCTCTTCAGCGACACCACCAGGAAGTCGTCTCTGCACAGACTAACATTAGGCTCAGAACACACGGACAGAAACGAAGCCGAAGGTTGGGTCACCAGCCGAGTTCGAACACAGCCAGCACCAGCATGACGAGGGCGCCGACGAAGAGCCGCCGCGACGCTGAGGGACACGACGACCCTGACGCGACTTCGGTGCTCTCGGCGCCCTGGTACTCCTGAGGGGCGGCGCACGGGCTCAGCTGCTCCAGGTCCACCGTGGAAATGGCCTTCCCGTGCAGGGTGTAAGGGGACACGCAGAAGTTGTGGCGGGAGAAGAGCGGCGCCTGGAGGGCCGTCGGGGAGTCGAGCACCCAACGGAGCTGGCACGAACACGGCACGAAGTTCTCTGTCGGGGGAACAGGGGAACGGGGCGTCAAAAAAGGGGAACAGGGGAAAAGGTCGGTCATGATAAGGGAACAGGGGGAAGGTTGGGTCACCCTAGGGGAACAAGAGGAACAGGGGAATGGGGCGTCAGGCTAGGGGAACAAGGGAAGGGGTGGGTCATACTAGGGGAACAGGGGGAAAGGTGGGTCATGCTAGGGGAACAGAGAAAAGGCTAGGTCAAGCTAGGGGAACAGGGGGAAGGGTGGGTCATGCTAGGGAAACTGGGGCGTCAGGCTAGGGGAACAAGGGAAGGGGTGGGTCATGCTAAAGGGCTAGGTCAAGCATAATGGGGCGTTAGTGCCAGGGGGAAAGATGCTAGGGAACAGAGAATAGGGCTAGGGGAACAGGGGGAAGGGTAGGGGGACAGGGCAATGAAGCATCACGCTAGGGGAACAAGGGAAAGGGTAGGTCACTCTAGGGGAACAGGGCATCACGCTGGGGGAATATAGGGATCAGGGGAAACAGCCGAAACAGGGAGTCATCCAAGGGAAGTAGGGGAGGAGGAGGTCACGCTAGGGGAGCAGCTGAAACGGGGAGTCACCTAAGGGGCACGCTAATGTTAGTTACATTGATATGACTAATAGCTATCACTGATGTCGACACGTGATTTCTGATCGTAGATAAACAACCTTTCTGGGGGTTTGCATTTAATACCAAATTGCTAATTTATCAGAAATGCATATAAATTATCCTCAATCACATATTATTATACACGATAAGTTCTTAATATATGACAATTGAATGATATCAATTGATATGTTTTTTCTCTCTCTCGAAGCATAAAATGGAGTTTGTTATTCGCACAATGTAATCTTTGAGACTCGAATCACATTTCCAGTTACGAAAGATATATAATGGATATGTTAAAAGAAGAACAAAATTCTAAAAAAAATTAGCGTCTGTGCATTATTATATCTGCTTCCAAGTGTTTTTTTTTCTTTTCTTTTTTACTAGACACCAGAGAGTAGAGTTTAATCATTTCATTTTTAATCTAAAATTCAGTACATTCCAACTGAATCTATTCTGAATTCAGACTTCATGTTTTGATAATTCTATCGGAAAAATATAATCTTGAGAGAAAAAATCCAGGATAAGAAATTGTATAAGCAGGTAGATCATAGGTTAATGTAAGGCTGGGAAATATTATCATTGGGAGACTAAATTAGATATAATTAAATTGATTACTCTGAGGCTAGCAACGATAAGTAATTTTCTTTTTCTTTGTTGATCTAATCTATTTATCTATCCATTTACTCTTTGAGCACCGATGTCCGTTCTACCTATTTCTATATAATGGAGAACTGAAATTCGCCCAAAGCCCTGCCGACGAGTCCTTCCTTACCCGTCACAACAGAGCGTAGATTAGCCTGGATCCGGAAAGGACTCTGGCGCGTGACCTGAAGGAAGTGGTTCCCCGTGACGTGGTCGACGTTGGACTCCTGAAGGATCTCCAGGGACTCCAGGACATCCACCTGAAATGGCAACACAGAGCCAGAAGGGAGGGATAAGAGCATGGTGGGAGAGGTTCTGTTATGTTTGTGTTATGGAAGAGAGCGTGAGAAATATAAAAGAAGAGAGAGAGAGAGAGAGAGAGAGAGAGAGAGAGAGAGAGAGAGAGAGAGAGAGAGAGAGAGAGAGAGGAGAGAGAGAGAGAGAGAGAGACAGACAGACAGACAGAGAGAGAGAGAGAGAGAGAGACATGAAGATTGAACCCTGGAAGATTTCGATACATATCACTCTGCCCTTTTTTCATGTTAAAAAAAATGAGAGAGAGAGAAAAATACACAAACACAGACTGCTCAACCCAGAATGTCACCTTAAGAAGACGAGCCGCACAGACCCAACTCCCACCCACCTTATTGCTGATAATCCGCAGCTCGCCCACGTTCTGGAGTCCGCTGAACGCCTCCTCTCGCATCACGCCCAAATCAGATTCCTTGATGGAGATTTGGGTGACGTTCCTGAGGCCTCTGGCGA